AAAAAAAGCACATGATTTCTAGAGAGGAAAGTTCTCTCTCTTCTTTTCTGAAGATGGGTGGGATGTCTGTGCGTGACACTGATGTAACCACATTCGATCTAGAGTGAATTCTGGGGATTCCAGCTCACAGACCAGCACCTACAGACATATTCAGACACTTAGATTTCACTCACCTGGAGCAGGGCCTATCTTGGAGCCTTCTTGGTTGTGATGGGCCTACTTCCTCTTGCAAATCTGCAAAAAAGGAAGCTGCCACCATGCTTTCTGGGAGTTATAGCCTCGCTGCCTTGTAGGCTCTATAGATGGCACCTCCCAAAGAACTGCAACAGGCAGAAGACCTACAACACCCTAAAAGCCAAACAGAATCTTGATAAAGAAGAAGTTACACAATCCACATTCAGTTCTACTGTGGTCTGTAGCAGCGACTCCAAAGGGACAATCACTGCTTGACTTGAAGCAAGATCAGGTAATTTCTGTGCTTTACATCCAAAGGGGATGTGGCCTAAAGGGAAGAATTTGCATTTACTAGAATTTTTTTTCCTATTTTATATTCTATATTTTGTTATAATAAAATTTCTTAGCATTAGGAGATAAAATTCACTTTTATTTGTTTGAAGATTTGTTTCCTACCCAAACCCACAGAAACTTAATTAAGGATTGATTACAATTTGTTAAATATTATATATACCGTACCACCAGTATGGTGCAGCACAGCAGTCCCCAACCGTTTTGGAACCATGGACCGGGGGGGGGGCTCCATGCGTGTGTGGGGGCACCACCACGCTTGTGGGCAGGTGTGTCGCACTCGCAGGTGGGTGTGTCATGCTTGTGCACATGCACACAAGCGTGACATGCCCCTGCATGCATGCAAACGCAACATGCCCCCTGCAAAGGGTGACATGCCCACCATACGTGTGGGAGGGGGCAGAGAGCTGTCTCCACAGCCCAGTCCTGGGCAGCCCACAGACTGCCACCGGGTCGCAAACCCCTGGTGTAGCAGATAGAACAAATGACTAGGACTCAGGAGACCTGGGTCACGGACTGCCACCGGGTCGCAAACCCCTGGTGCAGCAGATACAACAAATGACTAGGACTCAGGAGACCTGGGTTAAAAATCCCCACTTGGCCACAGAAATCTCACTTAGGAATGGCACAGGTTAAAACCCACTCCTTCATATCTTGCATATCTTGAAAATCCTATTAGGGTTGTCATAAATTGCTTTTGGTTTGGGTAAACATAACATAACATAACATAACAGCGTAACAAGTATATTTAGTTTATTTAGGAATAAATAAATTATAAAATAAATTGAAATCAGCTGTGAGAACTATGTCCACGTTTCCTTATTGTGATAGAAGCAGTAGCAATTGCTTTTAAGTCTGTGATAAATGCAAGCAGTTTAGAAGGGTATAGGATCCTACCCCTGCAACCCACCAGGAAGGGCACCTGCCCCTGGAAAGGTGGGGGAAAGGGGAGGAAAAAGCCATTTAAAAATGCTTGAGCCTTAATTGTTATATAAAGATTCACTTTATGAGAAAATTAGAAGCCTCGTCTTCAGTTACCGCTGTCCAGAAAATAATTAAGACTTTAGGCTCTTTGGCTAACAAGTAAAGCTCAAGGAACAATGGGAGAAAAACTGACAATTAATTGTGTCCACTTCAAATAATAATGATGATAGCTGCATGCTGTCAAGTCAATTCTGATATACGGTGGCCCTTTTCAGGGGGCACAGTGGGACTGTGCAGCTTGATCAAGGCCACACAGGCTGGCCCTTTTCCTGGGAGACACAGTGGGGGATTGAACTCAATACCTAACTCACTGATCTATCCCCCCAGCCTTTCAAAAGCCTTCCCAAAAGGTTTGCACTGAGTCCTATTGAGGTAAGCAGCTGATTTAGGAGTTTCCTGAGAACCATTAACTTTTTTCTTTAACAATATTTATTGGAAGTACTGGGAGTCACACACACACACACAAAAAATTGCACAAAGGCAGTACATAGCATTCAGGTTACAAATTGCCCACCCTTTATATAAAACTCCTCAATGACTTGAGTTAAAGAGCATCTCATGGACACATGATTGGCTCCTGACATTCTCACCATGATATGTTAATTACATTCTCCAGTTTGTGACATTTGTAATTAATAGCCATTCTTTCTTGTAGCTGTTCTCTTCTAAGCCACAGAATTGTCGGTGATCACCCTTAAGAGCTGCACAACTATAATGGACTCTGAAGGGTCTGGGCAGTGATTTCCTCCCCTTTTTTTTAGTCCCAGTGCCAGAGACAGTAGGAAAAAGCAGGTTAGCCCTTCCTTTGCGATTCTCAATATCTCTTGCTGTCTCTTCCTCAGACAGAGTCAGCATCTTAGAAGGCTTTGGCTCAGTGGTTCGCATTGCTTTTGAGACAACGGAGTTCCAGGTGGAGGTCGAGCTGGCGCCGACGATCGAAATCCCAACATGTTGGCCGCGAAAAATCAAATGGCCCCGATGTTTCAAGCACTGGCCTTCCCAGGAAAAAGTACAGTACGTTAAGGTAACCAGGCTGAGACATACCCCAAAAGTGTGGGAAACGTTTGGAGAGCATGCATGCATTCGGGGGGTGGGGGGGGACAGGATGAAATAGCCAGATTTAGACCATAAGGCTTTAGATTCTAGCAACCTCTATGTTCTGTCCTTCCCGCTATTTTACTCCGCCCATAAAAGAGGAAAGGTAGGAGGGTGGGTCTTACCACATTAGCAGTTGAGACTTGCAGCACATCTGCTATAAGCAGAGATGAAAAACGGAAGCGAGCTCAAAATCCTACTCATTTAGTGGGAGACAGGAAATGTGCACACCCCCTAAAAGGAGGGGCTCCATCTCCATCAGCCATTGATGCTACTAAATTTGAGAAGATGATCAATCCCAGACTCCATCTGATTTATGGGTCTTAAGTTTAAGCTTTTCCTGTTCTAAGTAGTGTTGTATCTCGTATTTCCCATTGAAGGTGCTAAAATATGCTCCCTGTTTTCATGTCTTCATCAGGGAGTTGTGTCTCAGTGCTCCATATATAGGGTACTTTTAACAGCACATAGCTGAGCATATGTTGTGCCTGGCTGTACATTGTGCTTTTATATCTGTTTCTCTAAATTAGTACCTATGCTTGATCATTTGAGTAAGGGTGATTAAATTAATGGCTTAAAACAATGAATATCAATGCTGTTGCGTATCAGTGTCTGTGTGGTTGAAGTGCTTGGCTAATCGCCGTATTCTTGTACCACGTGGGACCCTCTCTACCTTCCTTCACCATCACTCCCCACCCACCTTTCCCCATTCTTCTTCCAGTCTTTCGGCTTTGATCTCTTGGCCTCTTCCAATTACCACTGGAACCTGAGCTTCTCACGAGCGGAGCGCATGTTGATGGAGGGACTTGATGAGGATGGCGGTTGCCGCATGAGGTGCTTCCGGGTTATGAGGCAGATGAAAGAGGATGTCTGGTGCGCAGGGAGCAAGCCAATCCTCACCTCCTTTCACCTGCAGGTGCGTGCGGCCAACTAACAGCAGTGAGATTAAAAGAGGAAAGGGAGAGAAAGTTGTCACTCTGTGAGACCTGTTTAGGATCAACAGGTACCAGAAGCGGGGGGAAAAAACAAGGGAGATGCCTTTCCTTTCACGTCTTTTTTCCTAAGAATCTTAAGGCAGGAGGTATGGTACATGTAACCTCCTCTGTCATAATGGCAGACAGTGGAGGAGGGGTTGCACCTCTGTACCCCCCCTGCCCCCTGAATAATCCTGTGAAATAATTAGACAAACAATTGCTCAAGGTGCTTAAACCCTGCATTTCTGCCATCTACATCCAGTAACTATACTTTGTCTACTACTACCACACATTAGCTCTCACTGATACATGAACAGGTTGTATACTTAAACATTTTATTTGTTCAGCTGTTTTGCAATGAGGGAACAGTTTTTAAAAAAGGATATAAAATGAATGATGTGTAACCTTTTAGGTAAAATGTGAATGATGCCATCTGAGGACGTGGACTTGTCCATGAAAGGTCACATTAAATTATAGCAATTAGTATTTAAGGTGCCTTGCCGTCTTTGTCTTTTTTATTTTTCTTTTCCTTCTGCTTGACATCCCATTAAGTGGAGCTCAGTTATCATAGCGCTAATGCCATTTGAGTTTTGTTTTTGTTTTGTTTTGTTTTGAAGAAACTGGGATTTAAGGAAGGTCAGGAGGTGACTCCACTGAGCTCCTCCATAATCCAAATGGGCCTTCTCTACTTGTGACTTAAGTACCTCATGACTATAAGAGGCCCATTTGAAAAAAAAACAAACAGAATTTATCGATGAGTTGAGTCACCCAATTCCCATGGCTTCAATGGGCCTACTCTAGTGCAATTTACTATGCTAAACAAAGGATTTCAGCCAATGTATAGACTTAACATTCTTATTCCACAGAAGCTTGCAAGTTTCAAGAAACCCTCTTTTGTTGGTGAACGGCTACCTCTTTTGTTGGGAACTGGGTATCTTATTTTGGGGACATTTAGCATCTGAGATGGCTCCTAGTCTTGACTATCTTGTTCTTTCAGTGAAGCCTTTGGTTTCACTAATGATGTCACTGGGCGAGTCTCAGAAGCTTGTTTCTAGTGAGACAGTTCAGGCCACCCCCCTTCAAAGCTACCGCGCTAGAATAACCTGAGGAAATAGCAAAAAAAAAAAAAAAAAGGTGCTGCTTATATCCCGCCCCATAGCGCTTCAAGCACTCTCTGGGCGGTTTACAAGTTAATTATGCAGGCTACACATTGCCCCCCCCCCCCGGCGGGCTGGATACTCATTTTACTGACCTCGGAAGGATAGAAGGCTGAGTCAACTTTGAGCCGGCTACCTGGGATTTGAACCCCAGGTCGTGAGCACAGTTTTGGCTGCAGTACAGCGGTTTAACCACTGCGCCATGAGGCACCCAGATAGCTTTGATACTTGCCCAGAAAAGCACAAGAGATGCCTTCAGTGTGTGTGTGTGTGTGTGTGTGACATGCCTGATGGTGACATGGGTCATGAAAGGAGCAGAAAGGCTTTTTTGTTATTATCACCTGATATGGGCAGGGATTACTTCTTGAACACGCAGTGGACACCTTGAGCTAAATCCAAAGGTCAGTCCTAAAGAGAGTAGATGCTGCGAATAACTAAGACTTGCATAAATATTGAATAAACAAGTCCCATTCGTTCACTTATTTTACTTTTCTAGGGATCTAGCAACTGGATTCCTCTTCCCCATCCCCTGCCCTTGCTAATTAATGTGACCTTTTTGGCCAGTACTGTACTAGATTGGTCTGAATGGAGCATGCCCTATCTCTGGCATCTTGCAGTACAGTTAGCAACTGGCTTATTAAGTGCTCCAATGCAGAAAACCCTCAAATAATGATTAAACAGCATGAAAGGTAAAATGAAAGCAGAAGTGGTGTGTACCATTAACGCTTAGAGGCATGTAGTAATTTCTGTCACTCTGTTATGCTCACAGCACTAAACCACCTCGTGGTGGCACAAATAGATTCACACGAGAAGGGGGCGGCGCAGCCTGTTAGATTCCCTCCCTTCCACACAAGGCATAAGAAGGAAGGCCTGTTTAGGCTTCCTAATTTGGTTTATTTGCAAATCTGGATGAGATTTAGGCTTGAGCCCAAAGCATGCTAGGGCCATGTTGGGTCTGGAGGCTTTGGGGTGGGGGAAAGGTTCGAAACAAAGCCCAACAGTTTTGTACTGGTGTAGGGCAGAGCCCTGCGCAAGAGCAGTCTACTTCCGAAAATTGTGTTATTAAAAGTACCTGCCCCCTATTTTTTAAGCAATTAGCCCCACCCCATGCAGGGTTTGTGTTTGTGTGTGTGTTTTGACTGGCCAGTTGGCAATCCTAACGTCTCCTGGACATACATAGCTTCAAATACAAATGCAGCAGGTGGAAGCAATGAGATGGAACATGTTATTGGTCGAGTTACAATATCCCCCATCCCAGTCAGCAAGCACAATATCATTAAAAACGTGCTTCTGTATAGCGTTGGTCCGTAGGAAAGCTGTGGCATATTACAATGATGTATTTCCTGCTGGGCTTAAAGCACTTCTTCTGCTGTCGAATCAATCCTACTGTGCCGCAGTAATGATTTATTTATGTGTCTTCTGCAGATGGTACTTTTCTGGACCTGTGAGAAGTACCCTCGCTCCAAAGACTGGCGGTGTTTCCGCAAAGGTTTCCTACGGATGGTCAGGAAGTTGCACAAATGTGTGAGCCAGCACTTCCTGAAGCACTACTTCATCAAGAACACCAACCTGCTGAAGTATGCCAACACCAATGAGCTAGACATGGTGGCGAGCCGGCTGTCTATCTTCTTAGAGAACCCGGTGCTCCCCATGGACTGAGATGAATGATGGAGGAACAGGCTTCTTCTAAGCCATCCTTGGACCTGATCTTCAGTTTCCCTGTGCATATGGTTATCCCTTCAGATGATGAGTAGTGAGCATAGAGGCAAACGGATAGAATATAGAAGCAAGCTCTTCCATGCTCTGATTTATTAGTTTGCTTAAGTCTCAGCTCTTTACTGTGGAGCCAACCTATTGAAAACGTCCAAAAGCAGAGAAGGGACATGTGAACCCATTAGGATGAGTATTGGCATTGGTTGGCATTAGTAATATGTAAGCTTTCTGGGTTGAAATTGCAAAGCATAGATCTTAGCTACGGCTAAGCAAGCAAAAGTAACTCTGCTGTTCTGTAGCTTAGCCTGTTTCTTCCCTTCTGGGAAATGGGGTTAACAAGGAAAACTGGAAACATCTTGAGGACCATCTGATTTGTGGACTCAGGTGGAGGTTTTTCAAAAGTGGTGGACCAGCTTATCATTTTTTTACCTGTTAGATGTTCCAGTTGTTACAACTTGTGGCTTTTCCTCCCTTCTTCCTCTTCTGACAATGCAGCTCTGGTCTGTGGCATCTTTTTTTTCTCTGTGTGGTTATTTCTACCACTGTCTGTGGTTATTTCTCGTACCTGATTGCATGCACAAGATATGTATGTATAGCACATTGAAGCAGGTACGTAAAACATAAGAGTACTACATGCCCCTGCCTCCATGGTAAATCTGATCATTCCAAATGCCTGCAGAGTTTAAACCTTCTGGGGAATCAGGGACGTGTACTGCTCATTCACATTTGTATTCATGGATGGAATCTTGTGGAAAATATTCAATACCTGTATTTGAAAAATGCAATAAAAGATTGTGTTAGTTGGAAACCTGACCTGGAAATAGTGCATGTAAATGCCTGCTTCCTATGCTTGCTCAGGTTCCCCCTGCTTCTGTCATATTAACCAGCTTCCTCCTTCTCTAGGTCTTGTAGCAGAGCTCAAAAGTAATTCTTGTTAGCAAGGAATCAGGCAAGTGGCTTATTTTTCTCGACTGGATTGAGTTTTTCGTCTTCGGCATCTGTCCTCTGCGAAATGCTCTTCCCACTCCCTGGAGACTCTTCTAATCGTTCACAATAGCAATGGGTTTTCAAACGTAGTTTTGGAAAAGAGGAAGAATGGAACTGAAATAAAAATACTATAATTCCTCGTACGTGTGTTCTGTGCCATGAAGTTGGTACCAACTTAGAGTGATCCTAATAGGGCTTTTGAGAAAAGTGAAATATTTAAGGAGTGATTTTACCAGTTTCACTCCCCTAGTGAGTTTCCATGGCTGAGTGGGGATTTGAACCCTGCTCTCTAGAGTCCTAGTCCATCACTCTGTCCACTATACCACAACGGGAACAAAAACATATTTGGACCAAAACCACATTTTATCTATAATTCCTTACAAGGATTTTTAAAAATGAAAGGTTTTTTTCCCCATGGAGCTAAACATGTGGCCAACTTATGGCATATTTAAATGGTGGTTGTAGCCACATTTTTTAAACTGTAAGACAGTAAATGGGTTGGGTTTTCCCTTTCTCCTCACAGCCATTCCACCAGGGCACGTACATTATGGACCTTGTCTCACAAATCTAGTCAGAGTTGGGGAACCTGTAGCTCTCCAGATGTCCGTGGACTCCGACCCTTATCAACTTCTCAGTCAATGAGCCCATTCATAAATCATGATGGGCATTGCAGTGAAAAAGCACCTTTTTTCAATCCTAGTCACACTGCAAAATGAAACAACAACAACAAAAAACCCTGGGATTTGACCTGTGTTAAGCCTGTTTTGAAACAATATTTAATTTGCCATTCACACAATGAATTCCAAGGGGCAGATTTATATTTTAAGTAGAGATGGGGGTATTTGTATATGAATATTCCCGCACAGGTGGCATTAACAAGGGTCCAGCCCCATAGGGCCAGACGCTTCACTCACAGAGGATGTGGATGAATGGCGCCGCAGCACTTGTCACTCCTGGCAGTAGTGGTGAGAGAATCACACACTGCGAAGCCATTCGTAGAATTGCACCATCCGCATCCACGGTGGATCGGTGAATGGACGTCTGGCCCCATGGGGCTGGACCTTTGTTAACGCCACCTGTGCGGGGATATTCATATTTATATACAAATACGAATGTCCCCGTCTCTAATTTTAAGTTACGCTGCCCTTTGGAATTCATTGTGTGAGTTCAGCAAATTATTTAGACTCACCACCAGAGGGCCATTTATTTTAGCTTGCTGTTTTGTACTTCGGCTCAGTCCTGTGCGAATTTCCCTCTGTCTTGAACACTCTGCAGCAGTCGTATCCCACTGCAGAAAGGTGTATCACACCCACCCAAATCCTGCTCCCTGTGCAGCCAGTTAAGGGGGGGGTGGGCCCCTGTACCAGTTTGGAAAAGAACAGACTGTTTGTCCAAGCTATTCTAGGTGTGGAGTTGTGGCACAGAGGTTAAAGGAATGAATGAATGAATGAATGAATGAATGAATAGCAAATAACAAAATGCAAAGAATCATTTCAGTGGATATTTCAGAGGATAGACAAAAGTGTTCCAGTGTGCTTTAAAATTTGAGCAGTCCCCAGGGCAACTGCTTCAAGTTGCCTCTTTGGCTCACAGTTGACTTGGGGAAAAGGTCAGTGCCACTTTAATTGATTCAATAGTCCTTGCTCCTCCCTGGCAGTGCCCCGGAAACATTAACTCTCACTGCACTAATGCACCCAACACAAATTTCCTGAAGCTGCAACCCTGAAACAATTTACTAGAGAATCATGAAGCAGGCAGTGCAGTGCTTGGTTTTTGTGTTTCTCTGGAACAGATGCACTCAGTCAATTGTGGTTGAGGAAGTGTTAAACCCTTTCTACCACATCTTTTTCCCCTCCCAAATTTAGCAGTATTGCTGCTCCGGAGCTGCTACACACATTCTCTCTCTCTCTCTCTCTCATACTGTGGAGCAAATCCTGGCCAGCCCACCAATCCAGTCACCTCCTGGGGCCTGGTTTCTTCATTCTTGCAGATTATATCACAGCATTATAGAGTGGTGCCTCGCTAGACAATGATAATCCGTTCCACTGAAAACGCTGTTTAGCAAAATCATTGTCTAGCGAAAAGCATTTCCCCATTGGAATGCATTGAAACCTGTTTATAGCATTCCAATGGGGAAGAATAGTCATTGTCTAGTGAAGATTGGCCATAGGAAAGACACTTTGCTTTTTAAATCGCTGTCTTGCAAAGCTTAGGCCCCGAAAACACCTGTTTTGCGAGTGCGGAGGGAGCTGTCAAAATCGTCGTCTAGCAAAAATTGGTTTGCGAAGCAGGGACCAAACATTGTCCAGCAAAATTCCCCCATAGGAATCACTTTTTTGAGAATCGCTGTAGCAATCGCAAAAAGTCAATATCTAGCAACAACCTGTCATGCGGGGTAGATGTCTAGCGAGGCACCACTGTATATACACAAACTATTGTCAGTCAAGAGCCCAGGTTCATTTAGGAATGGTATGGGATTACTGTAATTAAAAATGCCCACAGGCCCTCCCCAGGAACACAGAGCAGGAGTATTGGTATGAACGGTACTATGGTTAATCCAGGCTTGGTTTTTGACAGGAAAGGTGCTTCTAAATCTTCATCATGGCAAGCATCCCCCGCCTGTCTCCGAACCTTTCAAGTGAAGCAGCACAGTTATCAGCCTCTTCCACGTGTGAGAAAAAGAGGCAAGCCACTTTAGCCTTTTGGCTTGGGATGCTCAACCACCCAAAGAACAGCCTGAAATTAGAGTATGAAGCACTTCCTTACAAAACAGGGCTGGAGCCCAACAAGCTGGCGGCCGAGCTCCTGCAGATGGGATGGCGCCTGCACCCTCTTCATCTAGGGTGGCTGGATGACTTTCGTCTTAAAGGCCAGCCCTTTTCTGGGCAAGGCAAAAGGCAAAAGTGGAATTTGACATAATAGAGGCATGATCTTAGAAGCCTTCTGGTAAGGAGTTCTAGGTGCAACATCTAGATATATCCCTTTATTCTGACCTCACCATACTTATCTTATGTTTAGAGCAGTTCAGACTGGCAATCGGGGACCAATCCTCTTTTACTTTCACTGTCTTTCAAACTGGAATAGGCTTCACTGAAAGAGGAGAAATATCCGGAGCCCTGCTGATCCGTACAGTGCAGTTATCCCTCAATTCTACCACCTGGTGGTAGAATTTCTCCATTCTTGAGGCATTGTGAGCTCTGGAGATACACTGAAGGACTCTCCGTGCTCCTGTGAGAGACTAGGAAGTCTTGCAGAACCTTTAAGACTAAAGGTGCAACTAGAAGGCCAATTGGATTGGCCCAAACAGGGTTGGTCTGAGGTAGGGTGTCACATGTAGGGCTCCCTTTGCACCCATATGCAAGAATCGAATGGTTTAAGGGCAGGAAACAACACCACACCTCAGGTGATCCTATTAACCCCCTCCGTCCTTTGAAGTAGGGGTCCCCAACCTTTTTCACCCCACAGACCAGTTTGGGAAGGCGGGGCACCCCCCCAAGCTCGTGGCATGTGTGAACAATTGAGTGCGAATGAGGGGGGCACCCCCCCCAAGCTCGTGGGCATGTGTGAACAATTGAGTGCGAATGAGTGTGTGTACACACCCAAACAGTGGTGTGGCGATTATGCACTCTCGCTCACTCGTGCACGTGCACAAATGATGGTGCGACGTTGACACAGGCGTGCACATCATGCACAAATCAGCTGTGCGGGATGAGTGATGAGTGTGTGTACACACCCAAACGGTGGTGTGGCGATTATGCACGCTCGCTCACTCATGCGCATGCACAAATGATGGTGCAACGTTCACACAGGCGTGTACAGCATGCACAAATCAGCTGTGCGGGGTGAGTGTGTGCACGGGGGTGGCAGGAAGTCTGTCTCCACCGCCCAGTTTGACTCAGGCCACGGACCAGCAGCAGGCCAGGACTGGGGGTTGGGGACATTTGCCTATGGATAGAGGGTTCTACTTTATGTCACAAAGATATGAGCCTTGGAGGCATCCAATTTTCCAAAAGTTCATAGCAAATGTAACATAACTATCATTGTGGCATAGTGAATTCTGCTGCTAAAGAATCTGCAAAACAGGAGTGCTGAGTGCATTGTCATAGTTTCTAAAACGAGGCAGGGTATTTTTTTTTTAAAGGAATGGCACCATTGTGTGAGGCAGGGTATTTTTTTAAAGAAATTCCACCATTGTGTAGCTCAGTTTCTATTGATTTTATTCTGTAGATTAGTAGATTAGTCGTCACTTCCAGATGCACTCCCTGGCTGATTCCCTTCAATACTTACAGCCTGGTCTCAGTTAAGTCCTCAACTGAACCACCACAACAATACATAGCATGGTCTCTGGCTCCCTGTAGTGGCCAGTTCAGGTAAATACATTGTGAATATACTTATTTCTAGGGGGTTTTCCCCCTTTCAATCATTTTCAAAATTTCAGACCACAGATAAGTGAAAACATGGATGTATTCACAAAGGCATGGAAACTCATCCAGCAGATACTGGGATCCTACTGTATGCCTAGCCTGAGAGAAATGAATGTCTATCCAACTGTCTGCAGTACTTTTGCAGTAATGTGTTCACTACTGAAAAGGAGTCAGAAAGGAGGTACTTTCTATTTAAATACATTTTAATTGAAATTCTATTGGCACTTGCAGCCAGTCAATAAGGGAAAGATTACCTGAAGAAGGTCTTTGCCTGAATATGAAAGGATGGCAAAGATGGGGCAAGTCTGGCTTCCAGTGGGAGGGAGTTCCAAAAGCTGGGGGCATTTTGAAACACAGCTGCATGTTTAATAGTGCAGGGATGGTGTTAAAATACTGG